GCTCAGAATCAGCTCAAATTTTTTATATGAATTCTTTGTACTTCTAATAGTGTCTGTAAAAAATTTTGGCATTTGGGTTTTAACTTTAAATTATTTTGGTTTTCCACCAGTTTAGCAATCTTGGCATTGTGTTTCAAACATTTTTTCGATTTTCGAGTCAAACTACACTTACAACTTTAAACATGTAACTTTATTTAAAGGTATTCTACACGTATATCTAAGAAAAATTCATAAAAGTTAAAAAATGGTAAATTTACAGGCTTGAAACACAATGCCAACTTGGCGGAAAAATCAAAATGTAATTTTTTGAACCAGATTTTCTTGAGATTTCTTGGAAAGCGCGATTTAGTACAGAAGAAGATCTTATATTTACATGATGTTATCATATAAAAAGTTTGAAGTAAATCATAGCGGTGCAGGTCGGGTACTTTTTTTGTTAATAGAAAATTTAGCTAGTTTTTGATTTTTAAAAGTAACCAGTTGAAAATTTTTTAAGGCATTTGGCATTGTGTTGTAAAATCTTTTTTGATGTACTCGTTAACAAGGAAAGTGCCCAACCTGCCCAGCTCTGATTGACTTCAAACTTTTTATTAAGGAAGATCATGTAAATATAAGGTCTTCAACAAAGTACTAAATCGCGCTTTCCAGGATATCTCGAAAAAATCGAGATTAAAAAATGACATTTTGAATTTCCCGCCAACTTGGCATTGTGTTTCAAGCTTGTAACTTTGTCATTTTTTAACTTTTAAGTGTTTTTCTTTAATGTACTAGTCGAGTACCTTTAAATAAACCTATATTTTTAAATTTGTAAGCGTATCTTGTCTGGAAAGCCGAATAAAGTGCTTAAAACACAATGCCAAATTTGCCAAATTGGCGGAAAACCCAAATAATTTAAATTTAAAACTCAAAAGTGCGAGCCAAAATTTTTTACGGGTACTATTGGCAATACAAAGAATTCATATAAAAATTTTGAGCTGATTCTGAACGGGGCAGGTAGGGTACTTTCCTTGGAAGATAGGCTTAGAAATAAAAAAACGTTACTTTCATTAATAAAACGTCTTTCAAAATGTCACAAAAAAACGAACAATAAGTTCAAAAATGCCAAAGTTGTAAGCTTGCATCAATGTGCTAAATTGGCAAAAAAACCCAAGTTAAAAAAGCATAATAAATCTATTTTTTCCAGTATGAAAACTACGTAAACTAATCATTTTGATCGACCGAAAGTACCAACTGGAAACGACGTCACAGCGACGTAATAAATACAAACAAAAACAAGAAAAGATTTGAAAAAGATAATCTTAAACCAATGTTAAAAACATACCGTATGCGGTTCTATGACTTCTTTTACTACGCGTCATTTCGAAAGTTTGCTTTGCACTCTTACAGTAGAAACATTGTATATGAACCAAAAACGTGATAAACAACATTAAAATAATTACTTGAGCCCCTAATCCTACAGTTACTTTCTTGAAATTATTATTATCTAGATTATTGTGGTCGATAGTATTTAGTAGTGTTTTAATTGACAATGTCAATGAAATGTTTAATATCAGAGGTTGTATGATAGATAATATTGTGGTAAAGCATTATCATGTTGTAATGTAATCACTGTTTACAATAACATTACTACTGTAAGTAAAGCCAGAAATCATGGAGCTAGAGAGATTGAAGGCTAACCTATTCTACTCTACCCTATCTTACACTTTGCTACCTTACCTAACCCTAAACATAAATGTTGTGGTGTTGTAATATTAGTGAACAAATCACAATTCTTTGATCATAACTGACAACAACTTTACTACTGTTCAACTAACACATTGTAAACAGCTTTTTACTGTAGTTTAAGCTACAATCGTACGATTACAAAATACATCGCCCAAATCACTGAGAACTGTCATTTCCTTACACTCTTACACATCTACTATCAGACGCTATCCATCACTTTAAACTTAATGCCCTTTTAGGAAAGGTGTTTTTTGTAGACGCAAACACTGTAAATTGTCGATAGTAATTCAAGGTGTTTTCTTATTTATGACTACACGTTGCACTTTTACGTAGAACCAGTTCAAAATAAGATTTAAAAACGATAGTGAATACTGTTTTTCTAGTTTTGAAAGTAATGTAATCAGAAATCAATGGAAGTTGTATTTATTACAATAACATAAACCTTGTGTACATTAGAGCACTGCAAAGAAAAACATCACTTCACAAAAAAAGTTATTAAAAATCTTGTCCTTTCTGTCAGTTTGTTCAAAAATTTGAGTTTAAAAATTTGCGTATTTAAAATTCCTCTCCATTAAACAACTTTGGCATTACGTTATAGGCACTTTTTGACGTTTCAAGTAAGATAAACATAAAAATAAAAAAAATATAAAAACCTTTCTCTATGCCTTTAGAATCCTATTGTCAAGTTTCGCAGGTCAACCAGGGATCACAGTTGGACCTAGCACGAGCACACCCTTTGCGTTCCGCCACGACAACGAACAGCACTTGGCATTCCGCACAGCACACGATTGCCAGCACGATAAAAGGAGAGGACAGTCAATGGGATCGCACGTCTCCTGACCAGTCGGTCCTTTATCCGCTCTTCGATTGGGATCAACGTTATATTATTGGTCTTGTAATAAATATTATAATATATTATATTACTCGGATTTATTAGCCCAACTTCACAACATCGTTCTCAAAGATAATTGGATAACGTCGCCTTTGAATTGCTAGAAGCAGGGTTTAACATTGCGTTCTTTATCTGTACCAGTTCCAAATGCCATCTACATGGGAATGTTATAGGTTGCTGTTGTAGCCAAGTTTGAACTCGCATAGAAAATGGCGCGTAACTCAATCTTTCTTAAAATATTTAAAAATCTCAAAGTAAAAAAATACAAACTACCAAAATACGAATAACAGATTAAAAGATAGGCCAAAATCTTGGCTTTCGAATCACACACAATGGCAACATTTCATGCCGCTTTTGCTCTAGGCGACTTTTTGTAACCGTCATCAAATTTTGTCATTCTTTTCTTTCTAACCCAATACCATCACCAAGTCATAAGCTGAAAAGTTATATCGTAACGAAAAAGTTAATTTTTTTACAATTTAAAAGGTTTTTTTAAATTTAAAGATCAATATATGTAAAACAAAAACGTTTCAAAACTTAACTTCACAAGATGTCACGTAACATCTGATGCTTGACCATCAGAAACAATGTTGAAAGTCGCATACCGTACGTACCCAGAAACGTTAAGCTTTGTGTATTACATTGTACTGAGTTTAAAGCAGCTTTTGGTGCATTAAAATATTGTGAAATATTTTAAGAGCTGATATTACACTGCTTACGGAGGTCTTTAAGCACATTCTGAGCGGCTTATCGCTGCGTATCTTACAGATATTGTTACTTAATGCATCTGGTCTTACTGTGCTCATCCTTCTGTGCGTGTGTTGTGCCATATCAGTTTGTACGCTATCATTATTGTGTTAGTCAGGTTGTGTATCGAAACTGTTTTTTCACATCACATCTTTGCGTATAGATTATTTATAAATACATTAGTTAATGTGCTTTTTGTTTACATTTTATAAAAATGTTGTAAAAGGTGTAGATAAGATTACAAAGAATATACATCCTTGTTTTATCATAACGGCCGTAAAAGACTTATAAATTGTGTGTTGAGCTAAAAAAGAATGCATTACAAGATTAATACTATGTAGTACTGTATGATTTAACTTATAGATGAGTTCTTTATACAGAAGTTCTACTGCATTTTTAATTTAAGACTACAAATGTGACCTCATAGTCTTATCCTAAAACCTTGTCTACTTAAATGTGTCGTATGTACGGTGTTATGACAAAAAGAGAGCACTCGATGTATTAGCTGACATCTCCAACTTAAAGAGTAATGTAAAGCTTCGTAATTGCGCATCCAAAGCCGCTTATGTCTTACAATGACCTACATTATGACGTTGAAATATTAATAGAAGCATTTTGACGTTTTTTTGCCATATTTAGTATGAGATGACGTTTAATTTTAATACTGTTTGTACTAGTTTACTGAGTTTGGCTTGTTACGTATACTATAATCAAAAATCGTTTTACTTGTCACATACACCATAGAAAAATATTGTTTTATATGTATTTGATACTACATTATAGCATGGTCTGGTGCTGACATTGCAGTAAAGTAACTTACTCACATTTTTGTACTAAGCCGTACATTGTATTTATAGGATATAATTGTAGTTTTCCAACTGTATATTGTTTTATTATTGCAGACTAGCTAAATAAATGAATATATAACTAAGTAAATCCCGTCACAAAGGTTTATTATTGCTTGAATTCAATTGTTATTGCTTTAACCATAGATTCTTGTAAAGTAAATTCTTGTAAATATTAATTAAATCACCCTATAGAATTGACAATCTTTGCTGATGTTAAGAGATAACATTTACAAAGCTGTAAATGTAGAAAATATAAAAAGATATATGATATTAAAATATACAAAAAGTATAAAAAGACTATCTGTAATGTACCTATATGATAAAGAAACATATGACAAAGAAAACATACATAACAGACATCAAGAAAATAAACGTGTAAATACCTTGTTTTCAATAAGACTTACAATGTATAAAACTATTTACATAGTAAAAAGTACTTAATTACATACTGCGCGATATAGTACATATACATAAACGTTGTAATTGATCATAACAACATGTCATAGGTCAAAAAGTAAAGGTTTATTACATTTTTAGATACATAGTAACGTATGGCATTAATACGTTCTCTAATAAACATAATAACACATTACATACCATGCAGTAACGCATGTACTATACTTTGAACAAGCACATGCTATACCTTTAACATAGACACGTTCTATGTCAGAAGCTAAGATATTATTTAGACGTTTCACAGATAAAGATAACACATTATTAAGAAGTTTTATACGTAAAGGTGAGACATATTTTAGACGTTCAGTAGTTACTACTGTACATTTTAAAACTTAGTACATGATTTCACCGTGACTATCACGATTGCTAGAGATGTTCGTATGTGTGTTGGTATGCTTTTGTTTCAGGTTTGTTGTAGATGATACCTGATGTGGCTGAGAACAACAAAACTGTCGTCGAATTTCGGAACGCATACTCTTGTTCAAGAACAGGTATATAAACACTGCTCCACCTGCAATTTTAATATACATTATATATTATATATACGACATATATTAGTAATATTAAAGGTTATGCTTAAGGCTTTAATGCTTCAATAAAAATTAGATTAGAAAATAATCATAATAAACTTTACCATTAAATCAAAATGTTTTAAAAATAAAATTTTTTTTTAAATTTTCAACGTACCGTGACTAGACTGCCATGTAATTTGGCCAACCACCACCATGTATCCGGCCGTTTCTATAAACTGCATTCTAACGTATACTGTAGCCGCAATCAAAATCAACATGCATATCATAGTAGCTTGAGCAACAATCTGTAAATCAATTTTTTGAAAGATTAGTTAAAACCATTGTCGTATTTTGCTCCAATTTAAAAAGTTTTGTAAATTTTTATATAATTTATAAAAAATTTTAAAAATTCATAAAATTTTTTTTTTATAAATTTGTCAAAGATCAGTACTAACTTACAGTCTTTTGCATTCCACTCATAGTATTGCCAGAAGATGAACTTGAGTTCAAAAACCGACTCTTCATTATGACAACAACACAGACACACGAGTAAGCTGTGACTAATACGGCGATAACTACCATATTGTTTATTGTGTGAGGCCAGCTTGTGTACTGAAAAGTTAAAAATTTTATTTATTGAAAATATCAAACTTGACCGGTAAATTAGCCAAATCTCTTTATCTTGAAGCGTATAAAAAGTAAAATGTAATGAGCTAATGTATGCGTAACGCTTAAATTTAAACATTTTTTTTATTTTACAAAATTGAGCTTTCAAACTCTAATGTCTGTTATCAATATAATTGACTTTTTCCTTGTTTTCAAAATTTAAAAATCAAAAATACAATTTTTACATTACTGAGTTTTTGTTACAACAATTGCAACACAAATCGTGCAATTAAATTTGAACACTCGACAATACTTATCAATTGTGCTCAACTATTATACTCAATGTAGATAAGTAAATACTTGACGTAACGTAAAAAAAGTGACGTAAAAAATCTAAATTTAAAACTCCAAAATTGAAATTTTGAAAATTATTTTTACTGTAATTTTACAGTAGTCTTTACAGTTTTTGAATTTTAAAATCATACCAAAACTTCAAAAACGCTATTTTAACTTCAAAAGCTGCTAAAAGCCTAAACAAAAAGCCAAGCTTACAATTTCCTTATCAGTAGCAGGTGTTCCAACGTATGGATCAAAGAAAGCGCCATCGTATATGGAAGAGAATATAAGTGGCGGGGTGAAGATGATGAAGTAAAGTCCGTACAAAGATGGTGCTAACAGCCAGTAGTACGCTCTGCTACCACCGAAGAGATGTTCCATCCATTGAGGTTTTAAAAGGTCACACACTCTGTTCAAAGCCAGCATCATACAGGCCATGCAGGCTGAGCACCATAGGCCTAAAATTTAGTTTTAATCTTTTAGCACTTCAAAATTTTTAATTTTATAAATTATTTTGTTAGCTAAAGTACTTTTTTTACAGTATACTGTAACATCTTTTCATTTTTTTAATTACAATTTAAAAAAATTTATTTTTGAATAAGATTGGATAAACGTAGTTTACCTGTAGAAATAGCACCACTGATGTACATAATGTCAGGGTAGTCACAGTAGACATTACCATGCCATGCAAAGAAGCCATCCATTATAGAGTTAATGAATATGCAAGCTACGTCTATTATGCCTAAAAGGAGCATGTTATCTTCATTTTATCTTTTCAAGACATTTTTTTGCTCAAACTTATGTTGATTTGTCAGAAATGCTAAACTATGGCTTCTACAATATAATATATTTCTGAACATTTAAATATCAATAGTTGTCATGGTCGTATTCTACAAAAATGTCTTTCCTTCTCAACGTTTTTCCAATTTTAAAATATTTTTTACTCCAAACCCAAAATGCCCCTCAAGAGATAGCTCCTTACCTAAATAAAACATGATTTTATAGCACGACAATCGTATGAACTTCTTCCCAGCCATCGTATACAAACAAGGAAAGTACAGTACTTCATACATCAAGCCAATGCAACAATATACAGCACCAATAACCTTGTCCGGCACTCCAAACCGATGCCATTCTTCTGGTGTATAGCGAGTACAATTGTACAGTCTATTAAAGGCTTCTGGCTCAAACCAATAGCGATTCATCTAAAGGTATATGTAGATAATGTTATAATAAAGGTATATGTATATAGTATGTTATAAGATAGATAAATAATGTAAGACGCGATTAAAATGTATTATATATCACAACAAACGTAAGCAATACAAAGTATGATACAAATCCTACATTCGACTTCCTTACCATTTCCGTCTTACTATTTATTACCTATAAGCTGATTTTCTAAATGCCTTCATTTTCATTCCTTCAATTGCTGTAAGCCTATTTTTTCCTTACCACCACTCAACACTGACCTTCCTGACTCACCTCTTCACTCTCACCGCTACCTCTTACATCTGACCCCCTAGAACCCCCTTCATTCACCTTCACTTCCACCTCTCACCCTATTGTCGAAAAGTTGTAACAGTCACGAACAATGTAACATCATAAAAAAAAGCTCAAGTTATAACTAGTATTAGTCTCAAATAAAGGTGATACAAGTATAATCTGTAGTTAAATGTTATTTTGACAGTATTATGTTGTGCCGACTCAAGATAAGTAAACGTTACAATAAGACAACAATAACATTTTGCATTGTATTTGAGCTGTAATTAGGAGTAATTGCCATTTTTAGCAACCATATTGCATGCAAAATACAAAAACGTCAAACAGATAAAAAGAGTAACAGTAAGGGTAACATAGTTGTTACAGATAACCTTACTAAGGAATTGTACTAACTATCTTTTGGCTTTTAAAATGAGATTAATATAAGATGAAAGAACATTAAAAGTTACTGAGAAAACTGTTTTCAAAAACTGTTAAATGCCTTTAGCTAGCACGTTGCAGTACGCTCAATATGCTTATACGTTTAAAAGGTACATCTTTACAATTAGAAAAATGACATTCTAAGGGTAAATGAAAGTAGCTTTTTACGCTCTTTCATGCTATATCAGTCTTATTCTATTTGGTGCAATTCCTTAGTTAGTATCATATAAAATTCTGTTTACAACATAAATACAATATAAAATGAAAAAAATATCCTCAAATCTGAACTGTAAACATCAAAAAAGATAAATAGAAAATTGTTCGCCATACAATATTGGCCAAAATTTAATTAAAAAAATATTTTCAATTTGACAGTTCTGTTTACTGCGCAGTAAAACCAACATTAATTCAAAAAACAAAAATTAAATAAAAGTTAAAAGCAAAAAATGAAAAAAAAACTTAATTCTACTTCCTTACTATTTTCTTCTTACCCCATACCAAATTAAAACAAACTATTTTTTTAATTCAGTAGAACTTTTGCACATAGAACTTCTTCATAACAAAAGTTCCGTATAAGAAACAACTTTTGAATGCCCATCTATAACTACACAGCGCATTTAAAACTCTTGTATAACAGAACTCATATCAAAATAAATTTAAATCTTAGACCAGTTCATTATATAGTAGTTTTACTGTACTATGTTTTATGAACATCCGAGCACGACGTAAGAACAACAGTTAATTCTTAGAACGCTTAAGCTGTCTTGCCGTGCTAAGCGTTTATCAAAACAAAGAGACATTGTACTAAGGTGTCGTCGATGATTTATGATCGAGAGTCTTAAGAAATAGTAATGAAATGTAACATTTAAATAGTCCTAAAAAACTAAACTAATTTTAAAAAAAAATTTTTAAATTAAATTTTTCGTAACGAAGCTATTTTAAATCCCCAAGCTATACGTTATACAGGAGTTACTGTATCCCAACTCTATGCCAGGTATGGTACCAAACAACTCAAAGTCAACAGATTTTACTGGTACATAAATACTGCCTCAAATAGAAATTTAAATAGTTTTTAAAAAATAAAAAGCAAGTAAAAACTTCAAATTCGTAATATGTAAAAGAAATTCAAAGAAAAGTCATATATAAAATTGAAGTAGCCTCTTGAGTTGGCTATATGTCACATAAACAACCTGCTCTAAACTGATTACATAACCCGAGTATGTCTTTGAAATTAAGCATTAAACGTAGACAGAGAACGGTGAACATCATTATCTTGTAATTATTGACATATGAGTTATATACTTAATTGTATCACAATTTTTGGTAACTCAATATTGTCATAGCGTTTTAAAACACAAAATGATATACAAAGTGATACGATACAATTTTAATTTACTGTGCAGCTACTTACTCTATTTTAGAGAAGGTAAGAAGAGAATTCCTAGTACCCAAAAAATTGGTTTTTGAACAAAATGACCTGTTAGTAAACCTGTAAAAGACATAACAGGGTCTTAGTCTGAAACTCAACCTTTGTGCCCACATGTCCCGGCCCAATCTTTTTGAATTTTTTTTTGGCTCGATGGGGCTTTTTAATAAAGTTTATCAAAGTAAAAAAAAATTTTAAAAAATTGAAAAACAAGAAAAGTTCGATTCCGCTTGAAAAATGGCCGTTTTTTGGATTTTTAAAAAAACCGTTACTCGTTTATTAAGAAAGATTACATAATGAAACTTACAGAATATGTACAACTTCTTATGCTCTACAAAACGTATAATTCTGATTTAAAAAAAATTATACACATAGTTGCAAAACAGAGGTATGGTAGAATTACGGTAACTTTTGAAAATTAACAAATTATAAAAATTATTTTTAGTGCACTTGTTGTATGAAAGTCTAATCTAAAATCACAAAAATTTTTTTTGTTTCTAGCATTTTTTTAAAAAAAAGTTATGTTTGCAAAAAATAGGTTGCCTGTTTTTTGACAACGGCTGTAAATGTAGCATTTGAATCTCTATTTATAATAAAAATTATAATTCGATGACAATACATTTCATACGTAAAAACAGAATATATAATAAAGTATAATTAAATTTTTTTGGCATATATGTATTGTCCGTTCTGAATAACGCATTCAAAATATTTTTGACATAACAAGCTTAACCGTCTATTAAAATACGAACAACAATGTAAAATAGGTGTAAAAACAAAAAAGTCAACAAAGTAAGTCGTATTTGTCTCTGTTTAACAATACTTGAGATTTGAAATGGGATGTATGTACATTAGCATATATTTTGATATATGCAGTCATATAGATACACAATTGCATATATAACTGTAAGTATACAATTACTTATATATTGATATAGCAGAAAACAATACTCAAAATTCTAAGTCTTCGTATTTACTTGATATATACTTTTTAAATAAAGAAATTAGGTACAATAGATAGATATACTAAATAGGTATACCTAAATCTACATTGGCTTAAAACATTTTTCTTCAGACGACAACACCTATACTACTCTAGGCTACCTGATGATGTATTACATACAACAACGTATGACATATTATATATTGTCAATACCACCTACTTGATATATCGTATAGCATGATAACCTGGACCTACGTCTTGATTTCACAATTCCTTTAAAAACCACTATTACAAGGGATCTAACCACCTATACTAATATATAACATATACATAACATAATAAAAAACATATAGCTACATCTTCAAGACGTATGAGAATAAAGATACGAAGTAAAACCGCAAATCCAACTATATGTACCGTTTCCCATTGAAATCATAACTCAAAGCCGGATTACTCAATTCAAGACAATTCAATTGAAATTTCAAAAATAAAGTCGACGTCAGTGCTACAACAAATGGGAGAACAATATCTGGGTCCTATGTACTATTATAAAGTCTATAATATTAAAATTTATAATTGTCTATAGTAGTTGCCATACTATGACACACAGGTATAACATCACAAAAGGTAGAGACTTGTACTAAAACAAAAAATAGCTATAATAACCACGCGAAAAGTGGTACTTACTTGCACTGTAACAATAAAAAGCTAAATGTGCACTATCACAAATGTTGCACTATAGCTATTATTGACATATATCTGAGAGTACGACTACTACAATAAAAAAATTCTATTTAAAATTTAATTAAGTACTATAACAATTGCAATAACCGGTCATACATCGTATCTTGCACCAATGACAATATAATGAATAACTTGTAATATTATACGTAATAATCGTTTAAAAAAGTCAAATATATATTGTAAAAGTATTATAAAACGAGTAATACTCACGTAGCAACACAAAGAAGTAAGTTCACAATAAACGCCTGACCTTTCAATACACCCTGTTATTCAATTAGCCCTTTCATTGATACTTTAATAGTATTTAAGAAATTACACCGTACAGTATTAATGTACAGACAAACTCGTTTTGAGCTCCAGAGCCTAATTCAACTCCAGAGGCCCAGCTTAAGTTTTCAGCACAGCCATGGCCCGGCCCGCGGGTAGAATGGAACAAAGTTGTGTCAAGGATTCAACTACAAAGCAATGTTAAAAATGTACCAAACCGGGCCAGCACATGTAGTTGGTGGGGTCTGGAATAATTCTTAGTTATTGCTTTAATGATTATAAAAGAAGATAAGCCACACCGACACACGTAAGCCGGTGAGCCTGGGCCTAAATCAAGGCTTGATCGAATCGATCCGTGGATAGCGGTTTTCGTACCACCGTTTGATTTTTTTGTTCTTGAAGGGACCAAGGTTTTCAAAAGCTCCAGAGCTAGAACTGAACTAGAATCCAAACTTGAATTTTAGAAACGGCAAGAGCCGAAACTTTTATCTTTGGTAACTTTGATAATAACAAACTTTTTTGTAAAAAAAATATTAACTCGAATTTTTAAAATTTATAGCACTAACCTCCTTAAGCTCCTTCGGAACAAGTCAACAAAAATACAATAACAAGCGAAACAATCAGAATTTTAGAAAATCGAATTATCCGTTTTCAGAAACACTCACGTTCGCTGCAGAATTTAATTACCACTGAAACCAGTAGCCGGGAAGAAGATACGGCAAAACATATGCTCGAAATTTGTGTTTTTGAAATTGTGAATTTTTTAGTTGGACTTTATTTAAGTTTTCTGGCCTTAAAAATAAAAAAAATGTTATGTTTGTACTTGAACTAATGTTATTTTAAACTTTAAATTGGCATAAGCTTTTGTTTATATCAACATTGTGACGCCGATTCGAAGAGATTACAATTTTTTATCTAAATAATGTATGTCCGAAGTCGAATTTTTCGTATATTATTAACATAAAATCCAAAAATGCTTTTTAAGCTTCTTTAAATTTTAAATTATCAAAATGGCTGTTGCAAATACGTAATTTATATTATACGTCTGATATTGATGTAGTT